TCAGAAAGAAGACTCCTAGGAGTCTGAGTTACGCCAATGTTATGGTTTGGATGTGAGGTGTCCCCCAAAAGCTCACATGTCAGACAATGCAAGAAGGGTTAGAGGAGAAATGATTGGGTTATAGCCTTAACCTAATCAGTGAATCAATCTCTAGTGGGATTAACTGAGTGGTAACTGGAGGTAGGTGGGAATGTGGCTAGAGGAAGTGGCAGGCTACAGGGTATGTATTTTGTCTGGAGAGTGGTCTCCTTCTTCTCTCTTCTCTCTCTCCCCTTCCTGTTCACCATGTGAGCTGCTTTCTTCTGCCTCTTCCACTGTGATGTTGAACCTCACCTTGAGCCTCAAGGAATGGAGCTTGCTGTCTATGGATTGAGACCTCTGAAACCATAAGGCTCCCCAATCAACTTTTCCTCCTCTACAATTGTTTTAATCTGGTCCTTTAGTCACAATAATGAAGAAACCTGACTAAAACAGGCAAGGACAAAATCTTTGTCAGAAATCTTTCTGAATAACTTGGAAATAGCTCTAAAATTTGTGCACTTACCTTAAAGATAAGGAAAACAATACTTTCCTGTTGATTTTTTCTGTGTTTAGAATTCATGAAAGAGCTTTGTGATCATTATATTAAAAAAGAAAACTCTGGCAGCAAGAACAGGAAAACTATTCTAACTATTAAGTATTGATTCTGAATGTCTCTGCCTTTAAAATAATGCATGTTCAGAAAGAAGTTTGGTTAAGTGAGGTTTTATTTATACTGACAGATAGTTTTGAATATGGCCTGGCCATTGTTCAAATCCGGACAAGGCATTGTATTATTATTATTATTCAAGTAATTCTCTCACCAGTATTTTCCCCATCTTGAAACTAAAGCTTCTTCCCTTGCTGAGAAAAACAATTTAATTAGTCTTAAAAGAACTCTGCCCTTCTTTTTGCCAGGAACTTAAAAACACTAAGAACAGTGTATGTAAAAGTTTGTTAAGTCTTGAATATATTCCTTCTGGCTGAAGAAATCTAATTATGGAAACTTTTATATAGAATTAACATATTTATTTAAAATGTGTGTTTTAATTTCATTTTTTTTCTCTTGAATGACAGCCTTTTGTATTGGTTTTTGTATGTGCACCTATGCACTCTGTCTGTATACATGCACTTCTCTGTATATCCTAAATATCTTCATATACTCTGCATCTTTTCAATAGGTAAGGCCTAGAGCAGTAGCAGAAGCCATACATTTGAGGTAGGGAAGAAGATGAAGCCAAAGGTGGATTATGAAACAGCTAGGAATACGGATGGGACAGGATACACACAAGAAAGTCCTACATATTTCGTACAGAAGACAGAATCTGTTTTTTTCCTGAGTTCTCCCAGCAGTCTGCACAGAGAGGGAAATTTGATCAGGTACATGAGTCACCATGTCCATAAAATGAGAGCAGAACAACTGCTCTGGCAGAAAGCAGGGCTCAGTTTCTGAAGCTGTTCGCTTCCGTTGAATATTCTCACCTCAGGTTGCGCCAGAGTCTGGACTAAGTGAATATTTGGAAGGAACCAAAACAGTTATCTTTCCTCTAAAAAGCACACAGGCTGTTAGACTATGAGTGTGGAAGTAGAAACCTCATAGAAGTTAACATTTAATGGCTATAATTGCAGTTTTTAAAAAATTATTTCTCATATCTGTTCAATTTACAGTTACTCAATGATGTGATGAGAGAATTTGGAAATTGGTGCCAAACAATGGATGTAGAAAGGAGAGGAATAAAAAAATAATATTTAAAAACTTCTCAATACACAGAGCTACCAATGTAGAAATTCAGAAGGCTTTTTGAAATCTGAAACAAGCAGTACATTATTCAATATTCCTAAAAACCTTAGCTCATTACAAGAGAAAAGGAATGGGGCAATATCTAAGGAGACACTCATTTTCGGCTGTAGGATGTGAAGTGGAGTAGAATCAGGATTGATGCTAAAGTTCCACCTCTGACTTCGTGTTAGTGTGATTCATGACCAGTCATATCTCTTTTTGACAAGACGAAAGAGCATCAAAACTCGTGGTTGCAAAGAGCAGGCAGGGGCTGTTTTCCACCCCATTACACTGATCCGGATCATAGAAGCATAATTAGGCCTGAAGTGCAAAATGTCCTTTCGGTAGAATGCTCTTTCATGAGCTAACTCCAGGCAAAGTAAATATGGCCACCAGATGGCAGTAGAGCACTCCAAATAAATGGAGCAGCCACAGACCACCCCTTTGTGTGTTCCACTCACTGAATTCTCCAGTAGGTGACAGCAACATGAACATAATCAGAAAGGCCATTAACAGATTACATGGAAAAAATATTTTTCAATCTTTCTGTTAAATCTGAAAGTATTTTAAGACAGTGTGCACAATTGGAATTTGTTTTTCTCTAGAAAATTTATAATATGAATTTGGTTTTAGGTATTTGCACACAAACCTTGTATACAAAAATAAAACAACACAAAAGCAAAGAAACAGAAGTGTTGGGGCATGTCTTCCAAAGAATCTGTGAAAATTATTATTTACGACTAAATTATTATTACTTAAGTATTTATGGAACTCAGATTTTCTTGTCCCACCTTAGAAAAAAAGTGGCTAAAATACTGTTGAAGATAATATTGTTATTTGTTGACTATTTAGCATGTTCCTAAGGTCATATTTTTTGTTTTTTATTTTTATTTATATATAATAGTGGAATGCATTACAATTCTTATTAAACATATAAAGCACAATTTTTCATATCTCTGGTTGTATACAAAGTATATTCACACCAATTCTTCATATACATACTTTGGATAAAAGTGATTATCACATTCCACCATCATTAATTATCCTATGCCCCTTCCCTTTCCCTCCCAACCCTCTGCTCTATCTAGAGTTCTTCTATTCCTCCCATGCTCCCCCTCCCTATCCCACTATGAGTCAGCCACCTTCTATCAAAGAAAATATTTGACATTTGGGTTTTTGGGAAAAGGTCATATTTAAATGCTTTATACACATTTACTCATTGAATCTGGACCAGGGACTCAAGAAGTTGCAGACTTGGACACGAGTATGTTTAGAGCCACCAGTCTGTACTTTCCATGACCTTATGCTTTTTCTGCTTGGGCCCATACTGAAGGAGCAATCAGAACTCCATTCACAGTATGGTTTTGAGCGTAGCCAGGGACACACTCCATTTATGATTTTCTGGCATGTGTAGATGCACAACATTAATTCAGTGAGGGATAATACTATACTTTTATTTCACTGTTACACCGAAGGCTAAAAATAAAGACTGATTTTGTGGCAATGTAATATTGAGAAAGAAATGACAGATATTATCAAAAATAAGAGTGGAGATGGACTAGGAAGTGTGGAAGAATTCTAGGTGCTTGGCTGAAAAAAAGAGTGAGGTAGTGAGATGGGTGGGGCAAGCCAGGAGCTCAGGAAAGCAGCGTTCACACACGTCTGTGGTTACTCCTGCTTGGTGCTTTTGCAAGCCTTACCTGGATGTTGTCTTGAACAGCCACATATAACCAGATATGGCACAAATGCTTTCCACGCAAGCAAGAGACCTGAATGCGTTTTGAATTCCTTAGAGGTCAACATTGGGCAGGCCAGCTTTGAAGATGAAGTGAAAGCAAGGGGTGTTAAAGAGGTGCCCCCCAGTGAGAGTGGGCCTGTCCTCAAGAGAAGCCCCAAACCTTCCATTCTCTGGTCATTCAGTCCTACATTGTCCTATAACCCACCATGGAGGAGAGGAGGAATGGGAAATCAGAAACTACAAAGACCATAAGACAATACTTTGTGCACAATGATTTTATTGTCCAGGAAAGCTGCACTTTAATGGACTTTATTTTAATTACCTTTAAAGGAAATACAACAAAATAATATGGCAATATCAAAGGACAAAAGCCAGCTTTATTTAATTGGAAGGGAAAAATTCCTTCTTTTGTTTCATACACAAGAAAGCTTTAGGGTGGGTTGTTTGGAGAAAGGAGTAGGATGAGGGACTTAGGGACGGGTGTTGCAGGATGAAGGGAGCAAGGTGACTCAAGTAGTTGATTCCTGAACCTGTCTCCAAGTATCTGCAGGCAATGGAAGGTGAACTGGGGCTGCCACTTAGCTAGCACAAATCAGTAATGACCATACCTCTAACTAAGCAACTAGGTACTAGGAGCCAGGAGTCCTTCTTACTTGCATTTCTTATTTAGTCTTTAGGGCAGCTCTGTTATGGAGATGGTGTTACCCATTCTCCCAGAGAATATCTTTCTCAAGGCTCAACAGTTAGTAAACGGCACAGTTAGGATTCAAAGCCTCTTCTTTTGGCAGTTCTCCTGCTTTTCTAGGGCCCCTATAACCTAGGCCATGGCTGGAAACATACACTCACTGACTGCCACCAGGGGTCACACTAGCCCATTTGGATCTAGTAATAAACACAATTAGATCTAAAGGTAATTAACTAAATAACTATGGCCTGTCCAAGTTTAGTCTTGCTAAAATGGTAACATGAAATAGGGTCATTATAAATGATTACTGGGAAAACAAGAATAGGTTTGAACAAAATCTCCCCCACTCCTTCCACCTTGTTTTAAAAACGATTGGCTCATACTTCCTTTGTGCCTACAGGAGAATGGGGTGGAGAGGGGTGACTCGTATTTTAAAAAACAAGATGAAAATGACTCGAGTATTGAGACAAACCTGCTGACAACCCATGCTCTTTTACTCTTTCTTGAAATGATTAATTTTGGTTGCACTACAGTGACTTTTCTGTGATCTGAGCCTCAGAATACCTGCTTCCCTAAGGACAAAGCACAGGCTGGAATTTGTACACAGGTTTCACAGAAGAAAGCAGAGAAGCCAGCATGTCACAAACAATGTTCACATTCTACAGGACGATTACACTGAATTGCACAGTCAACAATACATTCATACGGCATGAACATGTTTTCCTGCAAATGTTTAGAAAGCTTTTTAAGACATTCAAAGGGACTCTGTGGCAATTTCTTTAGGTGAAAAGAGAGCTGATAGTCACTATGGTAACCAAGATGGAAGTAACAAGGAGTAAAATTAGACCCATGCGACATAGTTTTGATCGCTTTTCACGCTTCTTCTTTTTTTTCAATAAGGTGTCAAAACCCGGTGTGTACATATCTCCCAACCAAAATCGTAGGTCATTGGGATTTTCCTAAAAGAAAATTACATAGAGAATATCATCAATCAGTGATCAGTCAGTGTTACAGACTAAAATTGCACAACAAGACACTGTCAGAGATCCTGAAGGTCCATATTAAGGTTGTCCTAGGTGAGGCTTAGGTGACACAGCTGGAGGAAGAGAGGCTTGACTTCCCTGAATGTTAAAGAAGCCCACTACAGTCTCCTGGCTGACCAGGGATCCTGCAGCTAATTTATAGATCTGCATCAGAATTCATTAGGGAACCTGAACAATTTCTTATTAAATTGCTGACATTGGAGGTTCAGAAAAAAAAAAAAAAAAAAAACAGTGTTTCTGTCATCTTTTAGCCAATTTAGTATTTTTTATACCTTATAAGTAGTGTGTATAAATCAGGTTAGTAAGCTGATATAGAATTAAAATTCCTTGCTTTAGGTGAACCTTAGGGGTTTGATTTTGTTTGCATGGCAGGCATAAGCATATTTGGTGAGCTTGTTCAGTAAACACACAAGCTGATTTCCACGGAGAGAGAATAAGATTAAGTGTCATGAGTCCATTCTGTGATTTTCAACCTGTTGGTCTCCCTTATAGAGAGCTTCAGCTTGTCTGCCCTGCAGAAGCTTCACAACCATTTGACCTTCTAAAGAAAAGACCCAGTATTTCCTTTCTCATGTGGGTTCCTGTTCTCTGTGTTTCTGTTTCACTGGCTTCATGTTCCTTTCATTCCCAGAGAGTCATCTTCAAGTGAACCTGCTCTCCTACATCTAATAAATCAACTGCAAACTCTACTGTCCATACATTTGAAAAATTACATTTCTTCTTATCCTCTGCTGTTTTAGTGCTACCGATTCAGTGTCCATGCCTGACACCTAGTAGGCATGCAATAAATTTACAAGGATTGCTGAATTGCTGCTTTCACAAAGTCACTCCAGGCCTCATTATTGCTCTCCTGGATGCTTTGCTTGCAAGGGCAGGAAGCAAGCTGCCCACCCTCTCCCTGCCTTTCCAGTCTCAGTGGACATAAAGTCAGCTGGAGTGTGGCACCACCGGCTTCCACGGCTGTCAATCTCAGGGTTCACTGAACTAGCTTCAGACTTCTGTGTGCATGGCTAGAGGAATGTGCATGCATGCAGGGAGCGGGGATACATCTGGCAGTGACATTATAGCTCTTCCATCACAGTGGTATGAGTTTGAACTTCTTAGTCTTAGAAATGCTCAAATACTACAATAAAATTTGAAGGACCCATACCTAAGGATATTGATATATAAAAATATTTGTCTGCCTTACTCTTATCTTTCATCTTATTTGAGTCCTAATCAGAGGTCTGCATTGTGCCAAGTTTCATGCCTCTGTTGTCCATTAAAAGCTTTCATCATGGAGACTATCCTTTCTTAAATTCTGCTTCTGGCTTCAGGTACCTTAACCACCCATAAATGGTGTCAGAGTTTCAGAAAATATGTTAGGGGCTCTGTTTGCTAAATATGAGATGAAGGTAGAATGATAATTAAAGGAGTTAAATCATGGAGGTATAGGAAGAAATTTTAATACAAACAGAAGCCATGGCTTCCAGAAGCTTCCCTCAGGAAATTAGTGCTGTAGGATTGTGTCATGAGGTCCGTGAACAGGCCTGAGGAAGGAGAGTGTGTGCGTGTACACATAGAGGACTGGAAGGGTGTGGCACAGATTGTTGTTTTCAGCAAAACAATGTGTCATTTATGTTTATGTTTGATCTTTCCAAACATAATTCACATACTTGTTCAACTTATAAAAATTAGTCTTCATTGCCAATCATCTTCCATTTCCTTAGATTAACATTGAAACTTTTAAAAATTAAAGTTGTTTAAGTGATACATTAAACATTATAATGTTTAAAACAGGTTCAACACATCTATCTCCTCCAATATGTATATTTCTTCATAATTGAAAGTGATAAGTATCTGATAAGTATCTTCTGGCTTTCTGAAATGCACACTACTGAACTGTCATCTGCAGCCATCCACCTTCTGTGAATAACAGCCCACCACAGCTTCCGTCTCCTGCCCAGCTGCAACCAGGTAACCATCCATCAACGTTCCCCATCCCTGATCTCTCCTACTCTCAAACATTTTTTTTTCTTTATTTCTTAGTCTTTTTCCCCACCATTCTATTACATAGACTGTGGCTCTTGCAAAACTGGACTTCCACACATTCTCTCACTTTCCTGTATTTCTGCCTTTGTTCTTGCTGCTCCAGCAAGAAGAGCCTCCCCACTTATGCAAACTCTCCCCATTTATTTTTAATTCTTCAAGCTCAACAAAAATGAACTTTGTCATGAAGTCTTTTTTTTTTTTTTTTAATTATTAGGGCTGATTTTTATCCCCTACCAAATCTTCCCAGCACTTCTAACTATGATTGCAGTGTCTTGTTCTATAGTTAGTGTTTGTTAATTTGCTCAGTTAAATAAATTTTTTGAGGACAAGGACATAAAATCCATCTCTACATTTCATTATCATGAACATAAATAATAGACACAAACAAAAGCATGTGGTCAAGAAATGTTTGGAAATTTGGAAATAAATACATTTTTTTTTTCTAACAGTAGATTAGAAGTCCTGGCCTTAAACCTCCTGTTAAGAAACCCAAGATTTAAAGAAGAAAGAAAAGGAAAAGACATGTACATGTGGGGGAGAATCTGCTTTGGAAATGACTTGGAAAGGGTCTACTGTAAGGAAGAGATAGATTCTATAATGTAATTTATGAAACATCAAAGATTCTGGACCACAAAGTATATCAAGGAATGCTTAGTTGAGATTTTTAAAGTGTGGGTAGAACTTAAGGGGATACGTACTGTCCCCTTCAAAGGAAAAAAAAATAAAGGCCTCTGGTACTTCAGGTATAAGGTATAATGTGTATCAGGTAACAGATACACATTTTTTCAAAAAGGTACTTGGAAAATGTCAGGCTTTATTGGCCCAAGGCAGATGAAGACAAGCCAAGGCTGGTTAGGAATCCAGTCCTTTCAGAAAACAGAGGGCCACCCTCTCTGCTTTTCAGGTATTTCTAGGTCTTCTGTTTGTGGGTGACATCAGAGGAGAAAAAAAAAGAAAAGAAAGAAAAACTTAAGTTGGGTTTAAACTGGGTGAATGAGTTCATTGCATACTTTTGCTGTGTTGAAATGTTTTTGTTTTGTTTTGTTTTGTTACTGAGACACAGGAAAATGACCAAAATGTAAATCTTAAATCATGGGGTGAGCTTGAAATGAAATGATCTCTGTTAAGAACTCCCTTGCCCAGTACCTAAGACAAAGCACTTAAATATTTTTAAATAAATACAGGATGGGAAATAAATTCTTAAATGTTCATGATCAAAATGGTTATAAACTAGGGGAAAACAGATAATCTTACCAATTAATTTTCAAAAACATTTTATCTTCCCAGAAAAATCTTTGTTCAATGCCACATTATTTTTTTTTCCTCTCTACATTATATAGATGCCAGTAATGACTGAAAGTGTAAAACTCAAAACAAATAAACACAGATTTTGACTAAGAGGGAGAAAGCAAAGTCAGAGGCCCAAATAATCTGAAACATGGAGATTCTGTGTCTAGTAAAGAGTGCCTGCCATCTCACTAATACTTTCTTCTAGGGTTATTTAATTGATCCCCCTCATCAAATGAAGAAGGTGTTTCTTAGTCTTAAATACCTTCAGATGTCCCGAGAGGTTTGTGTGCAGAGAACGTTTATCATACTCCTCAATGGTCCACGAAGGGTTCTTTTTTCTTTCTTCCATAGCTTCCTCCATACTTAAGTCCCCATAGAGTGGATTATTCTTCATGACTGAGGACATGGATGGTGGAGGGCTATCAGGAGTGACAGAGCCCTCCCTGCTGGATCTCTTAGTTCGCTGAGCAGCAATATTCTTCTTTTCTCTCTGTTAAGAGACAAAGAGACAAGACTTCTCTAATAAATGGCCTCCTGATGGTAGAAAGTGCAATTAAGATAACTGGACCTGAAAATTTGCTGATTCTGCCTAGAAATCTAAGAGATTAGGCCAATGAATGAGAAAGGGCTGTGGTACCTACTTTGACTTAGAATCTTACCATTAATTGAATTTTTTTTTCTTTACATATGATCTTGTTCTGAGTTAATATTCATTTAAAGGCTATTTTATAACTACAGAGATAGAATACAGTTCTTTAATTCATCTGGTAGAATTCTGAACAAAGCCAATTTTCCCAGCTTACTTGAATTTTGATCTAGTGACATTATGCATCACTCTATTTTGCATTCCATGACTGATAAAATTAATATTTAACACCGTTGTATTAATCCAGCAAATTCAAGATTAAAAGACATTTAATAGATATGCTTTGGATTTAAAAATGCTCTCTTGGCTCCTATTTCAGACAGCTTTGAGAACTGGTCCAACTTATCATTGTACTCTTCTATGTGTCTACAGACCAGCCCTCTGCTAGATGGCTCACATACTAACTTTCAGATCTTGAGAAAAAACATTTTCAATGAAGCACAATGTGGATTTAGAGAAGTACACATATGATAAATGTGTATCTCAATAAATGTTCACAAACCCAATAAATCCAGTTTCACATCCAGAGCAAGGAGCTGGATGTCAGTGGCACATTTCCTACTCATTTCCCAGCTCTACCCCTTGCTAGGTCCAGTCATCCCAAACGCTAACAGCAGAGGTTAATGTGGACTCATTTTGTCATTTATATAAGTGTAATCATACAATGCCTGCCTTTCTGTGTCTGTCTTATCTTTCAGAATTTTACATTGATGTGATATTTCCCCCTTCAGAATGACAAAGATGTCGTGAAGGCAGAAAGTTTTTAAATTAAAAATTATTCATTATCTAAATAGAAATTGAGATCAAACAGAAAAGCGATAGAATAATGCTGTATTTACTATGGAGCACAAAGGGAAAGAAATCTCACATAAGTTCATTTTCAGATAACTTAAACCATTTAAAAACTGGTGACCCACTTCCTTAGTTGACAATACCATTTCAATAAATGTATTTCCCATATTGAAACCTTCATAAACAGAGAGAATTGGACAAGATTTATTTCTTCTCAGTCATATTTGTGATGATCAATATACTAATGTCCTCAGCATCTATTGGGATACATGTTGGAATACATGAATGAATATATATATATATATATATATATATATATATA